CATCTATTGGGTTCTTCCCCATTTTTCTTTTGTCTTCCAAGGCTGGACTAGTTGGCTGGGAAGAGTGACTGGATACTCAGGTGAGGGTCCAGTGACCCTGCTTGGCACTCTTTTAATGAACGAGCACAACTGTCAACAAGCCCAATTGTGACTATGTTTAGCAATCAGGCTCAGCTGAAGTGATGATGGTAGTTATTTCATGCAGAAGGGACTGCTGAATATCATCATCTTATCAAAAGGACCTAGAATTTAAAAGGATTTGGTGCTAGGAGCCACATAAGAGGGAGAACATGTATAATTTTTCTGAGTCTGTTACTTCACTTAGTATAAGTTTCCAGATCCATCCATTTACCTACAAATTTCAATATTTCATCTTTCTTTACTGCTGAATAGAATCCATTGTGTAAATATACCACATTTTTGTTAACCACTCGTCAGTTGAGGGACACTTAGGTTGCTTCCATCTCTTAGCTATTATGAAAAGAGCAGCAACAAACATGGTTGTACAAGTGTCTGTACAATAGGATGAGTCCTTTGTGTATATGCCAAGGAGTTGTATAGCCGGGCCATTTAGTAGGTTCATTTTTAGTTTTTTAAGAGTTCTCCACACTGTTTCCCATAGAGGTTGTATGAATTTTCAATCCCACCAGCAGTGAATGAGCATGCTCCTTCTCCACTTCCTCACCAGCATTTGGTATCATTTGTTCTCTTGATCCTAGCCAATCTGATTAGGGTAAGGTGATACTTAGGGTGGTTTTAATTTGCATTTCCCTAATTAGTAATGATGTTGAACACCTTTTAAGATGCTTATTAGCCATCTTTATTTCTTCTTTTGAAAACTCTGTTCTGAGCCTTAGCCCATCTTTTAACTGGGTAACTTGCTTTCTTGATTCTTTGTTTTTGAGTTCTTATATAGTCTGGATTCTAAACCTCTGTCAGATGAGTGCCTGATGAAGATTTTCTCCCATTCTGTGAGTTTTCTCTTCACTTCCCTTGTTGCTTCTTTTGATGTACAAAAGCTTTTTAGTTTAATCAGGTCCCATTTCCCTTGTTTCCTGAGCAATTGATGTCTGGTTTAGAAAGTCCTTTCCTACACCTATATCTTGTAGGTTTTTCCCAATGTTTTCTTCTAAGAGTTTAAGTGTTTCAGGCTTTACATTGAGGTCTTTGAGCCATTTGGAATTGACTTTTGTGCAGGGTGAAAGATAGGGTTTTAGTTTCATTCCTCTACAAGTGGAGATCCAGTTTTGCCAGCACCATTTGCTGAACATGCTGTCTGTCTTTCCTCCAGTTAATGTTCTTGGCCACTTTGTCAAATATAAGGTGGCTAAAATTGCAATTACTCATATTTGGGTCTTCAATTTTGTTCCATTGGTCTATGGGTCTATTTTTATGCCAGTACCATATTGT